CGGCGAGCTAAGAAAATGCTTATCTCCCTGAGCCCGGCCTTCATAATTCCATTCCATCACACCTTTGTTTGATCCAACCTTTCTTCTCTCCCTTCTCTCCTTTGTCTTAATATAGGTATAACAGTAATCCCAGATAGGTGTCTTCCAAGATTTGAGGAGAGACTTTAAGCTAAGTGCTCAACCATGGGATGTGAAGCAGTGATTTTAATAAAATGGGGAGTGATGGAGAAGTAGGCCCGTGATTGGCAAACTACTACATAGCTAGCCTTTGAAATAGTAGTTACTGTTGCCAGGGTTTGGAAGAGTATTTTTTTTTTCTCCCACACAGGAAAATTTTTAATAATTTCAATATAATTTCTGTTGAGTTCCAATCGAAAGCCTCTCTGTATTTGGAGCATTGATTATTATGTCAAAACAAATCAGATTTATGCATTTCCTGTCAGTCCTATGCATTGCACATTGCATTAGAACGTCTCCATTTGGAAAGGAGGCATAGAAAAGGAGGCACTTAAGCAAAGTAATAGCAGCAACTCCTTGCCAGCCAGTAGCACTATGGGGGTTTAGATCCAGTCGCCAATAACACAGTTGCTCTCTGTATTATTAACTCCGTCCTTTGTTTTTCTGCCACTGATCTCCCCTTGTCGACAGAAAGATCCATTTGATTCACCAAGGAGGGAGGCAGGTCTATTTTTCCTCATTCTGACATCTTCTGTTAGTGAGCAGGAAGTGTTGATCTGTGAAGCCACCAGAAGCGTAGATGATGAATTTATAAGAATACAGTGAATTATTAGGAAGCGGGGTTAGCCAGATATCTTCTAATTTAAGAAAATAGATTTTTCCTATTTCTTCTTTTTCTTGCTTTAAATATTGAAGCCTTTTTCATTCTCTTCGGGGTGAAACAATACTGAAATCCATTTCAGAAACCATATCCTCATAGAGCTGTAAGAGATGTCTTGGGATTTGAAGTGCCTGTATGTGTTAACCCAGCAGGACTTTCCTTTCACTCAAGGAGTTTTTATTTAGAGACATAAATAGGTTCAAGACACTATGTGTAGAAATCAGTGGGGAACTTCTATGATATCAAGTCCTTAATCTTTGTGAATCTAGCCAATGCAGCAGGATGAAGAGTTGAAATAATACAAAGAATATGAAATAGGTATATGTTAAAGGACATAAAAGCGAAATACAGGTAGTCCTCGTTCAACTACCACAATTGGAATTGCCAACTCTGTCACTAAGCGAAGTGGTTGCTAAGTGAGAAATCACGTGACCATGACTGTGCTTTCCTTTTCCCCACTCCCTCACCCTTTGGAATGCTCATCCCAGCGCTAGGATAATTAGCAAGAAGGGAATTAATGTTTGTATTTATATTCAGTGGAGAGAAGGGGATTACAAGAGAGTAAGCAGACACACAATGGGGAATACACTGGGCTGTTTGCATAGCGCACTTGTGACTACCAGTGCATTGCTTTAAATGTGTATTCCCCATTGTGTGCCTGCTTACTCTCTTGTAATCCCTTTGTCAGGGACAAAATAACATGTAGTGACTGTAATGGTGGTCACATAACTGAGGGACAGCACCGTCGTAACTTTGAATGGTCACTGATCAAGGCAGTCAGTAAGTGAGGACTACATGCAAATAAATAATACATAAATGTCCATCTTCTGGCAGGAGGCCACATTCCATCTCATCAAGTCTCCCTGTCAACAAGAATTAGCTGTTCTCCTTCCTCTGTTA